TTTACATCACAGTGAGAGAGTATTAGTCTAAATGGTTTGTAAATGTTTTACATCACAGTGAGAGAGTATTAGTCTAAATGGTTTGTAAATGTTTTACATCACAGTGAGAGAGTATTAGTCTAAATGGTTTGTGAATGTTTTACATCACAGTGAGAGAGTATTAGTCTAAATGGTTTGTAAATGTTTTACAACTAATACTCTCTCACTGTGACATATAGGACTGAAAAGTTTAAATCACATCATTGTTTATTGATTAAATACGTGTTCTGATAAGTTTAGTTTGGTTCGGTTTGAATTTCGCGCAAAGCTACACGAGGGCTATCTGCGCTAGCCGTCCCTAATTTAGCAATGTAAGACTAGAGGGAAGGCAGCTAGTCATCATCACCCACCGCTAACTCTTGGGTTACTCTTTTACTAATGAATAGTGGGATTGACCGTCACACTATAACGCCCTCACGGCTGAAAAGGCGAACATGTTTGGTGGAACGGGAATTCGAATTTAGATGTTAGATATTACATATAGTTGATATGTTCGTTCACGTGTTCCTGTTAGATATTACATACATATCAACTATTCTTGCACGTGTTCAGTTGACCCGATGATGACTCTACGATAGGACTGAAATCTTGTCAATAAACACATTTAATCTGTGTTACTTACGTAACCTTACAGTATAATGAAAGGATGATTACATAGTTGATAGTCAAATTCAGCACAGAATTTGTTGATAAACATTTAATGGAATGTGTGACGGATTTATTATTATATATTTATTTTAGTATCGATGTTTGCTTGAATTAAATTTATATTTACAAATGTACATAACTTATACTGTTAAATATGTATTGCAAAACTCCCGCCTATTGTCTAAAGTTGTAGAAGATTCTCGAGTGTAAGAATCAACAATATATGTGTGTACGTAAACGTTATTGTAGCTTTGTATTGTTACATAATCTGAATTTTCTAGAAACTCTTCACATGTCTATAAATATAACCAATGCGCCGCGCCAAAAATGAGTATCTATTATTAGTTTGCTATAGTCAAGGTGCTATAAATTTGGAAGCTATAACTGTGATTGTTATAACGATTATCAGTCGGAAAACTTCAGAAATTTGACCAGGAGCATTTACAAAGTTCGAACATTAAAAATAATTTAATTTCAGTGGATTCACATCGGGCAGTAGTAGTTTTATGAAAACATTACCTAACGTCACAGGTAAGAAAAATATAGGCGTGTGATCAGCGAGAACTACATGGTTAGCTAGCTCCCTGTTAAGTGAATTGTACCTACGTCAACTCGAAATTAACTCACTCATCGTGAACCCTCGATAAAATATCAAGGAAGTTCTAGACCAGAAATAAGACTTTGTATTGCTTGTAAGTTTGTGGAACTTTTGTAAATAAATCATTATTTGTAGTAGCTGTTTGTAATAAATGTTATAATAAAAAAGAAAAACTCTGTGTATCAATCTTGTTGGCAAATATCATAAATTGGAGATATATCGGAATATATTTAACTACTAAATTCAAATTATCATTTAGCTCGGTTTCAGACCATCCGAAATTTTAATATGTAAGAGAGATCAGATGTGTATGAAAAATATTTATTGTTTTACATTAAAGAATCCCTGCGTAACAAGAAAAGCTGGTGAGAAAAATTAGACTTATACCATTAACGAGAGTGAACTAATCACACTATGACAACTTGATAAAAACTAGACTTATAGCATTAACGAAAGTAAACTAATCATACTAAGACAACTTGAACAACTTAATAAAAATTAGACTTATAGCATTAACGAGAGTAAACTATTGAAACTATGACAACTTGAACAACTTGATAAAAATTATACATATACCATTAACGAGATTGAACTAATCAAACTATGACAACTTGAACAACTTGATAAAAATTATACATATACCATTAACGAGAGTGAACTAATCAAACTATGACAACTTGAACAACTTGATAAAAATTATACATATACCATTAACGAGAGTGAACTAATCAAACTATGACAACTTGAACAACTTGATAAAAATTATACATATACCATTAACGAGAGCGAACTAATCAAACTATGACAACTTGAACAACTTCATACAGCAAGTTCGTTAGATCCTAGGGTTAACAAGAAACTGCATATACTATGTCATTCTTACTAAGTTATAACGTTTAATAACTAACTGACATTAGTAAAATTGAAATATAATATCAATATTGTTATAAGCTATAACTATTTAATGTTGTAGTTTAGATTTTAACTAGAGGGTGCATCACACTACGATCAAGTTAACTACAGAATAATCGGGAATAATAATGAACATGAGGTTCTGTGAAATATCTGGAATAAAGATTATATCATAAATACGGTGAACCAGTCGGTGTAATAATGAAACATCAACAAGATAAAGAGTTGTTTTATAGCCGGTAAAGTGAATCAGTCAGTATTTTGTGTTGGCTATCATGCATAATGAGTCATTTTGTACAAGTAAGTTGTTTTTTACATTAGTGTAGTGCAGATATGGTGGCTGTAAACGTAGGCTTACGAAAAAATTTCCAATAGTACAAGCATGCAAAGAAACGTTAAGGAGAAAGAAAAACTAATTCGTTATTATTATGTGAACTGGATGTTGAACTATTTTCACTATATAATTTAAAGGAATTCGCCAACGAAAGAACAACAATATTAAACTCATTTAGTCAACGTTAACACATAGGATTGTACGTTACGATATACATAATATATGTGTTACACAAGGCACCAAAGTACGAAATGAAATACCCGAAAAACCTTGGAACATATATATCTAGTATAGTTAATGGTAATTTGGTGGCCTAACACCAGAATTGTTTTCAGTTACTTGTGCATATTTAATCGTGAGAATTTTCTAAAGTTACTTACCACCAAGTTTTTCTTTATTGATTATTACTTTGGGTCTTCCTTTACTATCTAAAACAAAAGTAAAAATTTCATAAGACGAGCAAGAAATTTAAAGTCGAAATAATAAATGCTTTTACAAAATACCGTCGCGAAATAATAAACATAGTTATTATCATTAGCTCAGTCATAACATGTTAGGTTATAATAAAATAAAGGATAATAATAGTACTGGTTACGGTGTAAAATAACCTAAGCATTGTGCATAAAAAAATAAAACCAAACCGGACAGAAAACACAGATCATAATAACCCTCGAGAGAAAGTTCATAAAACAAGAAACAATATTGTTATGTATAAAGTTTACATAAAATTGTCAAAATAAAAATTAAAGCAATTAAACTGACTATATCAAGCACAATCAATTAAAACAATACTTCTAACGTCCATAACTAACAGTGTTAATTTAGGTGTTAGTATGAAAGAGTTTAGGCAGGATAGGCCTAGACTCAGTTTCTGTATTCCTGATTCAACAGGAAACTTTTTGAGTGTCAGAATTGATCTTTGGCTCTGTAGGTAAGAAGGATTCTATTGAAGAAGAAAGTAGCTCTGTAATTAGAATGATTTTGTTGGAGAAGAAAGTGACTCTGTAGGTTAGAAGGGTTCTATTGAAGAAGAAAGTGACTCTGTAGGTAAGAAGGATTCTATTGAAGAAGAAAGTAGCTCTGTAATGAGAATGATTTTGTTGGAGAAGAAAGTGACTCTGTAGGTTAGAAGGGTTCTATTGAAGAAGAAAGTGACTCTGTAGGTTAGAAGGGTTCTATTGAACAAGAAAATAGCTCTGTAGGCTAGAAGGGTTCTATTGAACAAGAAAATGGTTCTGTAGGTTAGAAGGGTTCTATTGAACAAGAAAACGGCTCTGTAGGTTAGAAGGATTATAGTGAAGAAGAAAGTGTGCTCAAATCTTATTAAAGATTGAATAAAGATTTATTGGTACTGTTACGACAGCGGAAGTCACGCGAAACTGGGAGCATGCGCAGTGGAGTTTCTCGAAGGATCATGAAGGCCGGAGTGCATTCGAAACGCCATCTTTTTAGATATATGCCTGGCGAGAAAAACCAGCGCAACTGCATAGATAGATAGATCGAAGAGATAGATATAGATAATTGAGTCAAGCGAACAGTAGGCACCGTAAATAAAGTGTGTGAATCACTGTG